TTATCTTATTAAAGGAGTGAGGAAGGCCTGAATAATTGTTTTGTACTGTAGCGCCCCCTAGCGTACTACAGCGGCAGTACTATCTCCTTCCCCAGCGGACTCCCGTCACGTGCACCTGGAGCCCTGTCACACAGACGCGTGTTTATCTACCTGCTCAACCCCGGAAGCTTCAGAGTCAGAAACAAGACCACAGCACGCAACTACATTAAATCATAATTATAGAATTCAATGATAATAATAGAAATAATTTACACTTGTTGATAGTGTTTCATAATCATTATTGAACTAGTTGGAGGTTTATACGCAATTGCTTTTTGAATCCACTCATTAGAATTTGGTCTTGATTTCTGGTGTAGATTTTCACTGCTGTTTTTGGGGAGAGAGGAAGAAGAACTTTTTATTATGCTGTGTAAGATGATCATTTTCATGGCTGATGATACTGAATATCTATTTACCACCCCACTATCAAACTATTAAACTCCCAGCCTCTCTCACCCACGATCTGAACCCTCACAGCGATCCAGAGAGTTCTCTCCTGATCAAAACTCACGCATTGAAATCTACCTCTGCCTCAAGTCAAGAAGTTCACTCCCCCTAATTTTCTATCCTTTATTTCATTCTGTCGACGTGTGATTCTGCACAACTGATGTTGTTCTGCACATTACCTGTTGTCTTTCTTTTCTTATACAATTGTATTGTTGTGTTTTTGTACTACATACCACCTGAGAGCTAGCAAAATAGCATTTCGTCATACCATATGCCTGTGTATGAGCATAATGACAATAAACTCGGAACTTGATAAGCGTGATATATATTTTAAAAAGGCGCTCACTGTAGTGTTGATGGATTGGTGCCACAGTGGATGAGGGAGACAACAGGGGTTACAAGATCGTGCCAAGCGAGGGGGAGAAATGCTGGAAGGTGGAGTGGGAGCTGAATTATCTTCCGTGGTTTCTGGACAGGGAAATGCGGTTTATATTTGAATGCCTTTCTGTCGTTTGAGCTCATCGGGGCCCAGCGCGTCGCTGCCACACTGCGCCGGCGCGGTAGGCCGCTCTTGCACAGGTTTTGCATCATCAGGGGGGTCTCGGGAGCGCCGACGTCAGCGACCGTGAGCCCGCACACGCCTGCGTGCCGCTCTCGTGAGGAGGAAGAGGTGGCGGGCTGTCGCCGAGGAGCGGTTTCCGTTATCCTACCCTCTCCGAGGACAGCGTGGAAATAAGGGAACGCGTGGGTCGCCGGGGAGCGGGAGGGGGGGAGTGGTAGAGGCAGAGTGAGGAGAGGGAGGGAGAGAGAGAGAGAGCGGCGCGGAGCCTGCCCGGAAAGTGGCTGCGTGGACACATCACCGTGGAAGGTACGCATGTTTTTTTTTTCCTCTCCCCCGCCGAGAGCAACGTCTGAGCGGACGCGACCGAGTCGCACGGCGAATTAGAAGCCCCGCTGACGCGCACAAGCGCCGCGTCTGATTGGCTCGATCGTGCGTGCTCGTTTGCATATGCATGACGGCGGGGGCGGGGCGCCGACGGCTGCCCAGCTGGCGTACAGCGGGGCGTCATGAATAATTAATAAAGGGGGCGGGGTATCACCATAGGGGGGCCGGGCTGTGTATTTCAAGGCACCTTCTATAGAGAGGGGAGAATCGTAAACAAAACACTAAAACACGCTCTGAGAAATTGCGGGGAAAAAATTTGAGTAGTGGCGCTGGCATTTTATATTTTAACGTGGTGCCTCTCAGAAGTTCCGCCTTATCCGTGTCAATTATGTCGGCAAATTCAGCGGTACGGACAGCAGGAGGGATATAACCAGCATTTGACAAACCGGCACTGTTGCTAGTTGCTAGAAGCAGTTCTCAAATTACAGTTTGGTCAGATACAGACGTTTGTACGAGTGGTTTTTTTGTGTCGAAGTTGGAGGGGATGGCTTCGGTACCGGCGGAGCCGAACCTGAGCCCGGGTCCCGTACCGGCTGTGGAGTCACCGGTTCCCGCTTGCATGTTCGCTCCGGTGCCGGCATGTGGAGAGGACGTGGCCCGGGCAGAGAGCCCCGAGGACGGCGAGATCTTCAACGGCGAGGCCGGGGATCACCTAGACTTCACCAGTAAGGTAGGCCTCTGTCTGTTTTTTTTAAAAAAAATTTGGAGAGGGAGAACGACTCGCACAAGGATATAAACGAGAAAAAAAGTGAATAGTTCTGTCACCATTTGGTGTTTTGTGTTTTTCTTAACTGAAAAATAAGTCACTTTTGGGTCACGTTGTCTGGTTTCCAGAGGGCTCGTTAAGGGCAGTGAGTTCGTTGAGTACCGCCGCTGGATCTTGATCAGATGCAGAACGTAACGCATGACAACACGTGAAATGGATATAGTTGTGTGCTAATTTAATACCTTTCGTACCGTATACGTTGACCTGTCAAGACAAGCTGCAGACACACTGACCCCTCCAGGATCAGGACTGGACAGCCCTGCTGCAGACACACTGACTGACCCTCCAGGACCAGGACTGGACAGCCCTGC